TTTTCTAGCCGCTTGAAATCTGTTTAAAATGCAACTCCATTTACCTGCACTTTGTCATAATTATAACGCAATTGCAGGGACAGAAGTTTCACACAACCAACTGTTCTGTAAAATGCAAATTGTGCATGGGAAATACTTCCCCTGGGAGAAAATGGAGTAGTTGTTGTGAGAAGTTATTTTTAAAATAACACACCAAATGTCTCTTGTGCTTTAGTGTTTTATCAAAAATTTCAATGAATAGAGGACCTTTTGGAAAGATCAATACACATACACACACAGGGCGAGAGCAAGAGCAAGAGAGAGAAAGAGAGAGAGAGCGAGAGGTGCTACATTTTGGGGAAACATGTAAACATAACAGACATTTCATATATAAATTGTGAAATGTCAAAACCAAGCAGCTCAACACTTTGCTTATCCATCCTTCATATTGGCATGCAATTTTACCGTTGATAGCCACTCATCTTCATTTCACCCCCAACAGAAGGATTAATCTAAGGCGATAAAATGCATTTTTCAGGGAGTGAATCAGTTAGTCATTCCTGTGTAATAAACTACTGTCAATCTCAGTGCTTTAAAAGAGGGATGGTTTATTCTTGCTCGTATGTCTAAAGGTTGGTGGGGTGGTTTTGCTGATCTCACTCAGCTGTGCTCAGCTGAGCTTGGCCGCAAGCCACAGGTTGGTTGTCTGGGTCTGTTCCTTGGACAGTGGGCTGCCTGTGGCATGTTCTCAGAATGGCAAAATATAAATGGACAAACCCAACTCCATAAACATATTTCAAAAGCCAATTATGTAGCTCTTTCCTACCATCTTATTAGCCAAGGAAGTCATGCGGCCAAGTCCAAACCAAGGGTTGGAGAATGTTTGTGTTCCCCCGCAAGTTCATGTGTTGAAACCTAACCCCTCAGGTGATGGCGTAAGGAGGTGGGGCTTTTGGGAGGTGACTGAGTCACGAGGAGCCATCCTCACAATTGGGATTAGTGTGCTTTTAGGAGAGGCTCCAGAGAGATCCCTTGCCTGCTTGCATTCGAGGGCACAGTAAGAAGCTGACAGTCTGCAACAGCTTCCGGCAGCCCCTGGCCATGTTGGTGCCCTGGTCTTGGATTTCCAGCCTCCAGAACTGTGAGAAATAATTTCTGTTGTTTATGAACTGCTCGGTCTCTGGAATTTTGTCAAAGCAGCCCCATGAACTAAGAGAAGTATGTTCCACCAACCATAAGGCAAGTCACATGGCCAAGCCCAACGTCAAGGGTAGTGCGCTCCTCCCAGAGTCAGGGTGGAAACGGAGTGCATATTTTAGAGCAATGATCTTTTTTACTGTTGGTAGGAAGAGTGAGGCACAGCATTTTGCCTGAGTCATGGTGTACATATTTGAATGATTTCTCTTTTTTTAAAGATTTTATTTATTTATTTGACACAGAGAGAGAGAGAGAGAGAGCGAGAGAGACACCACAAGCAGGGGGAGTGGCAGGCAGAGGGAGAAGCAGGCTCCCCGCTGAGCAGGGACCACAGTGTGGGACTCGATCCCAGGACCCTGGGATCATGACCTGAGCCGAAGGCAGACGCTTAACGACTGAGCCACCCAGGTGCCCCTGAATGATTTCTTGTCCTAAGGAAAAGTACCTATAATATACTATATATACATCTATAATAAATATACCTATAACACTATAGTACCTCTAGTACTCCAGGATTCTGCTGAGTTTCCTCATGGGTTATTTCATTTAACCTTTTTTTTTTTTTCATTTAACCTTTTAACAACACTAGGAAGATTTTTATAACCCATCTCACATATAAGGCGATAGGCCACAGAGTAAATGTGAAATGGAAAGTCTTAAGAGTAGAGCCTAGTTTTTTCTGGCAGCCTTCAAGTGCTTTGAATATTAGGTCACATTATTATTTATTTATTTTTTGGTCATGGCAAATCAAGCACTAATCTCTTAGGGGAAAATATCATGGCCACACTGTTCCCGTTTACTCCAGAAGCATGAAGAGCTGTAAATTTTCTAGGAGTATAGCTGCCCCTCAGTCTTGATACTCAACTTGTTGGCTCAATAGGTTCTCTTGAATATTCAGATTGACGAGGCAGATTGGTTGCTCAGCAATGCTTTGGGGGCTTCTGGGTTAGAGGTGGAATGCTCCTGCCGCTGGAAAGTGACTGGACTGTCTTCACTGTCTTACGTGTCTGGCTGCCCTGTGGGGGTGGGGCCGTGGGGAGGGAGGATGGAGAAACCAGGAATTCCAGCCAGAAAATCCTGCCTGAAGAGGACCTCAGATGGGCCTGCTGATGTTTTTCTCCCCCCACCTGAAATGCCTTGTCCACCTAAATGTTAGCTTGCTTGCTTCTAATGCTTAGCAAATACTGTCGTGCCAGGCACTTGAGTAGTCATGTAGAGAAAGGTAGACCGAGCGCTGGGGATGACTGGGTGAATCCCATGAATCTGTGTCTTAACAGGTGATTCTGATGCCCACTCAAGTTTGAATACGACCGTCTTAGGCCACCAGGTGGCGAAGGCCCGTGGCTTCCATTCGTGTTATTCTCTCACTCATTTCCAGTCGGAGGAGAGTTCCTACTCCTCCTTGGGGATGGCAACGTCCAGTGTCTGGGCAGGCCGGCCTCAGAGAGGCCACAGTTGCCACTGAACCTGTGAAAGACTCTGGGAGAGTCACAGTCCTGCTTCCTGCATAGCTACCCCGTCCCTGCAGAGACCGGCAGGGGCCTCCCCGCTCGTGTGCTGGCTTACCTCCAGGGTCCCAGGGTCCTCAGCCTTGGCACTGTTCACATTTTGCGTGAGATAATTCTCGGTTGCGGGTGGTTATGCGTTGTAGGATGTTTAGCAGCGTCCCCGGCCACTATCCACTATATGCCAGTAGCAACCCCCCACCAAGTTATGACAATCAGAAAGGTCTCCTGAGGGATAAACCCACACTGCTCCCCTCCTGCCCCCTGCTTTGAGAATTGCTGGTCTTAGACTGGGGAATTCTGCTCTCAGGACAATGAGTAATGGAGAAGCAAGTGGTGTAACTAGAAAGAAGGGGGGTGGGGGGCAACGGTAGCTTTGAACAGTAGCTTTGAACGTTCTTTCCCTGTCCTCTCTGCACTCAGTCCTCCGCAACCCAAACAACCACACACCCACAGACATTATTTTTCATAAATGACTTTTACTTCTTTATCATTTCTCTTGACAGTAATTCTTGGCAATATGCACATAACATGAAGGCAAGCATAACTTTCAGAAGTCATCAAAGGTATGGTCCTATTGTCCTCATTTTCTTAAACCATTAAAATATTTTCCTTTATAAAAATTAATCTAAATATAAATATTGACACCAAAGATCAAAATCACTTGATGACAAAATAATTCTTCTGAAACTATAACATATGCTTATGGTTTTTAATAGTAAATTAAATCTTTGCACTTATTTGGCACAAGGAAACCTTTATAAAATTTCAAATGCCATAGAGCAGGGTTCTTCTTCTTTTTTTTGTTTTTGTTTTTGTTTTTTTGCAAGGCTTACACAGTACACGTTTTTGTCAAAGAAAACTGAATATTTTAACACTGTAACACAACAATAGTTGCTTTTCATGCCTCTTAAAGAAAACATTCTATTTGGAACTCAGATCTTTTTTTGTTGTGTTTTTAAAAATTTGTCTGCTTTGAGTCACACCAACAGAACAAAGAGCCAAAGACTTAGTTTATTTCAAAGGAGTCATTTCTGTGGGATAACACATACACAGCATCAGCAGGGAGTATCACTGGAAGATAGGCAGACCCCCATCAGGAAGGAGTCATAACACACATCTCAGCAGCAAATCAGGTCTGGGAATGTGTGTAGCAGCAAAAGAATGTAGAAGTTGAAACAAACACGGAGTGAGGCTTTTGTGGGGCATTCCAATTAGACTTAGTTTCAAGGTGTGACTTTGGCAAACTAATCTCTCTGGTCCCCTCCGTTTCCAAATCTGAAAAATGGGGATACCTACCGAAGAGGGTTGCTCTAACGATGAAAAGTAGAAGGAATTGCCTCCCTGAAAGCAATCACTTAATGAATTTCGGTCAAACTTGCCTCCCATCATTTGCTTCCTTAGATTCAGATTTAAGACAGATTTAAGAAAGGTTGCAAATGCTCAATTCACTGTGCGAAATTCCATTCCATTTGCCTTTATAAACACACTCTACGTACGGAGTCATGCATTTGAGACCACCAACGTGCAGCTCGTGTCAGCTCTTGTGTCCATTAAATTCAGTTTATCCTTGCTTTTTTCATGCCTGTAAGTATTCCCAAGGCGATTCTTTAACCAGGTTTACCTTTCAAGTCATTCTACTTCTTTTGCTGAATATTTATTGGGAAATAAATTTTGGAGGACAACATTTTCTCACGTGGTTATTGTCTGCAAGAATCCATTTACCTAAACCCCATTAGACACGGCCGCGCAGTCGTTGCTAACCCGCATCATGTGGATTCCGGACAGCGCCCTAAAGTTAAGTCAGTGTTGAGGCTTTCTCAAGCTCCCCTCCCCTTCAGAGTGCGGAAACGGTCAGTAACTCCAGGGAAGAGCCCTGAATTCTCAATGAGACCTTGTTTCAGATAGACCTGGCCATGGCGTGGGTGAGGCCAAGCTTTCCATTTCGTGGCTTGTGATGGCAAAGCGATGGGAATGACTGGTTGACTGGTTATGCCCGGAGGATGGGGGTGGAGGGGTGGAGGGGGTTGGAACTTCCCGGGAAGGAGGTGGCCAAAGGGAGACCTGCATGCTCGCCCGGGTGCACGCTCTCCAAATGGGACAGTCCCGATGGTTCACTACGGCGGGGCATTTGCACTTTTTTGCCTTAGCGCTTGGGGGACAAAGATGCTTGTGAGAGATAAGAACTGATGGTGAATTAAATGATAATACCCATCTCCCTTCCTTCCGCCCCCCACCCCCCAACTGTTTTCCTTTGGACAAATAACTGTTGACACGTACTTCTAGTTGAATCAGAGGGACCAAAAAAAAAAAAAAAAAGAGAGAGAGAGATCTTAAAGACGACAGAGTAGCAAAGCGGACAGGGAAAAGATGCATCTTGTGCACACGGAGCTCTGCTGTTGGAAACCCGCGGCGCGGCTGGCTGTCTCGGATCCCCCTGCGAGCCTAAGGCAGAGCGCGGGCAGGACCGCAGTGCGCAAGTCCGGGACTGCTTTCTGGGTGAGGTATCGGGACAGCCCTGGGCAGCGGCGCACCGTGGCCTCCCCCACGCCCTCTCCACGGGTGGGAATCCGTACAGTATTCGATGGCTGTTGGGTCAAGGCACTGTCGTGTACGGCCGGAGGCAGTGGGTCACTGGCAGTGGAGTCCCGGGGCGCTAATACGTCACAGCCGACTCCGGAGCGGGCTCCTGCGGGGAGACATGAGTGCGCCGTCCCTGCTCCAGACTCGATCCCCCCTCCACCCCCAGCCCCACCCCCCCCAAAAAGAGCGAACAACTCAGGGGCATTTACTACCCTCACAATGTCACGTGGCCACCACCTCTATCCAGTTTCAAAGCCTACCAAAACCTCTTACCCGTCAAGTGGTGTCTTCCTCTGGCCCCTCCCCCACAGCCCTTGGCGACCACTAATCTCTGTTCTCTCTCTCTCTGAAAGGTAATGTTTATAACTATTTTATTTATAACAGATTCCTTCCCTGGCCCTAATGGTCTGCCCTTTTAAGTGCGATAAATGCAGCGTTTTAGCTCTTTTAAAGTAACTGCCCGGAGCAAAGTCATTGGACTTGAAAAGGTCAGGGGTCATGGCTGAGCAGTGAAGAAAAAGCAGTGGGCAGGCTGTTGCCACTCGGTAACCCCAAAGGGCATGGCCACCATTATGCCATTACTTGGGGTTCCTGCACTCAGGGTACAGGGACCATGAGGGGGAGGAAGGGGAAGGGAGGGATGGGTGATGTGTAAAAGGCAACAGAGTAAACTTGCCCTTGCTTCAGTCTTGTCACCCCGCCCCCCCACAAAAAAACACACAACCCCTCCCCCTCCTTATCTCTTCCCCCCCCCCCCCCCCCCCCCCCCCGCCGTCTGCCTTCAGCATAATGGTACCACTGAGGCAGTTTAGCTGGATCAGCCCTTCCCATAGAAGGAGCACCTAGCATAGGTAGGTGTTTGGTCAAACGATCCGTTAGCCCTCTTTACAGGCTCTCCGGAGTTTGTGCAAATTATCTCCTGTCCCTTCCTTTGCATTTAGGGGCAGCTGTTGACTTTTTTTCAGGAACGCAATAAGTAATTAATGGCTAACAAGAAATTTAAGGAAGAGTGAACATGGATCAAAAACAGGATAAAAACTCTGACACCTCAACCAGACCTTACATTCCTATGTACACATTTTTAGTTCTCGCATATCAAACCCTACAAGGAACGGGATATATAGTTGTGAGGATGTATCCACATATCAAAGAGGTTAGCAATACCAGGTAGGGTGCTCATCACTTCTCATTGCACACCCCCCACCCCGTTCCCCATACTCCCCCCACGTCCCCAACCAACAGACCGTGAGATCATGCAGGAAGGATGCTTCCTGGGCCTCTGATGGGGGAGCTGCGGACAGAAGGGCTAAAGAATGGAGGCCCCATCTACAGTGCAAGCGATGGGCATTGAGACACAGCTGAGTTACCATCAAATCCTTGGTGGTGCTTTTCCTTTCATTAGTCCTGTTTGTCGAGGCGCCTTGGAGAATGAAGTTGCGGTTAAATGTTTTCATGGTGGTCACTGAAGATGACTCCATGTTTTCAGCTAAAAGGAAACAAATAGAAATAAGTGATAACCAGAAGCTGGGCTGAGTGTTGAGGAAGAAAGACCAGGTGTTCTCATGACCCAGATTTTGGTTCTAGATTTGGCATCTCATTCCAGTCCACAGGTCTGACTGCAGAAGCTTTTAATTTTGTGTTTATTTTTATGATATGCACCAAACAAATTCAAGAATCATTTATGGCTTTCCAGGAAAGGGTAGCTTGGAGATAATCTACCATAGTTCATAAATTCTTTTTTTTTTAAGTAGGCTCCACGCCCAGCATGGAGCCCAATACAGGGCTTGAATTCGTGACCCTGAGATCAAGACTTGAGTTGAGATCAAGAGTCGGATGCCTAACTGACTGAGCCACCCAGGTGCGTTGTCTATAGTTCATAATTTTTTATTTGTGATTCTGGAATATAGGCTCTAAAAGTTGTAAATCCGTAAAACTTTGGGGCCCAAACTGTCCAATGGCAAAACCTGACTTACACTGACATATGGCCATTTAAAATCCTTGTCCATCCCACCGAGAGTAAACATTCTCTTGTTAATGTGTTTATCAGATGCTGCCCCAGACACCACGGGGAGGGCGCTGTTAGGAATTATACTATACATGTACCATATTACCTTTCTAATGTCCAAGACATTCTGAAACATATACTTATCCAAGGGTTTCAAATAAGAGACCATGGATCTGTAATACATTGTAATTGTATGGGGCTTTATGGATTCAATAAATGCTGAACAAAGAATGATGGAGCCAAGACTCAAACATATCTTCTGACTGTCTACTCTTCTGATCTGTAGACCTAAGTCCTAGTTTGGTACCATCATATATGGCTCCTGAATCCAGGGAAATTGTTGAAGACGCCCAGTGGAGGAGGGGGACAACACCAGCATCGCTAGAATCCCCTGTGGGTTGTGCATTGTGTTAGATGCCTCTGATGCCCTGCCCACGTTTCCCTGACATCACCACACATTCTGGCATCCAGCACCTTCCAAAAGCGTGCTTCTGCAAGCACCATCATTCTCTCTCGGCTCATGCATGGGGTGGGGCAGAAGTACCAGGGAATTAATGCCTCCCCCCAGTAAATGTCAGGGGCTGATAGCTGAGAGTTGAAATCCTCATTTTCCTATTCTTTGGGCAGAAAACTCTGAAGTGCAATCGATGCTATCTCCCTGAAGTCCTCAGGCGGGAGTTAGCCTCATTTGCCCAGAGAAATTAACTATGAATTAAATTGCACTGCATTGACTTAATTTCCTTCCCTGAATCATTTCTTGCTTCTCCTACCAGTGTGTCTTGGAATCACTTCCCAAATCCCATCCTTGTCCTGGGGTCTGCTTCTTAGGGGGATTCAAGTCAAGATAAAATTCTTCACAAGAGCACTTCTGGGTAAGAACTCCCCATTAGGTCTGGTTGTCAAACTCAAATCACTGAGTCACTCAAAGTAAGTAAGTCAGGCTTAATTCTTTGGTAGCTCTGTGGTTTTACTGTAAGCACACCTTTCACTGGTGGGGCAGGCAGTTTCCTCCTCTGCTGCCTTGATGTGTCGATGGTTTGTACCTACAAACAGAACACAGCAGTCAACACACCTTTGCAAAGCCAAAGATATTTTATCTTCTAAATTTTCCAGGTCGTGCAATATTCCAACAGAGGAAGTGAGGGACAAACGCACCTGGTTCCTTTGCTTCTGATCTCGTTTTCTTGTGAGGCGCACACACGGTGCTATGTTTAATCCTGCAATGGTCAGGGCTGAAATCCGGCTCTCGATATCAGAGATCTTAATGCAACAGAAAGAATCAGTAGGGGAAAAGCACAGGTGGGGGGAATCTTTGTTAAAAATGACAGGAATCTATAATGAACAAATCTGCTTTGATGTATGCTCATTCATTCATTCATTCAACTTCTTTTTTTTTTTTTAAAGATTTTATTTTATTTTATTTTTTAAAATATTTTATTTATTTATTTGAGAGAGAGAGAATGAGAGGTAGAGAGCACGAGAAGGAAGAGGGTCAGAGGGAGAAGCAGACTCCCCGCTGAGCAGGGAGCCCGATGTGGGACTCCATCCCGGGACTCCAGGATCATGACCTGAGCCGAAGGCAGTCGCTTAACCAACTGAGCCACCCAGGCGCCCAAGATTTTATTTTTTTAAGTAATTTCTACACTCAATGTGGGGCTCAAACTCACAACCCCGAGGTCAAGAGTCGCATGCTCCACCGACTGAGCCAGCCAGGTGCCCCTCATTCATTCAACTTCTACCAAGCCCTTCTCTATCTAGTGCTGTGGTAAGAAAATAAAACACAGGCCTTCTTTTGTGAATTTAAATGTCTAGTTTGATAGCTCTAGAGTATATCAACACCCTTGTCAGGGATATATCTCTAGAGATAAGTAGAAGCCCTGGGCATGATGGGAACCGTGGCCCATCATGGTGGGGAGAGGGGAGGGAGGTGATCAGGAAGGCTTCCAGAGTGAGCCACACTTGATGAGAGCCTTGAAAGGCAAGTATGATTTATAGGTCCTTCTTTGTTCTACCATGACTCCATGAACCAAACCACAGCACCAACTCTTAGGAGGGAGGCCCACCAGTCCCTGGTTCAAGTCCATTTCTTTCATTAAAAGGACAAGTGCCTTGAGAAACTCTCTCTTCTCTCTGGGCATCAGTTTCCTCCACTATAACATCAGAAGATCAGAGAGAGTTCAGATTACGTTTCAAGAGTCTTAAGGCAGATACAGAGAGCAAGAGCCCAGTCAGTGCCCAGAAAGAACCCTAACCCATCCACGTCCCCAGGGATGAAGAAGACATAGTCCCTGCTCTTAGAAATTAATTAATATGTGCTATCACCATGCTAAGCATTTTAAATACGTGAACTCATTCATAAACCTATGACAGAGGTACCATTCTCTTGGTTCTATAGATGAGGATCTGTGGCTCAGAGGGATAAGTAACAGAGCCAACATTTCACAGCTGGTCTGGGGCAGAGCTCCAAATTCCTGCCAGTCCTCATGCTCTTGCCACACTGCCACATTCTAAGAGGATCTGCCAAGGCCCGGCATGGGGGACATGGGGAGAGGCGGGAACAGGCTGGTGGTGGAGGGAGGAGATGGGGGTCACAGCTGTCCTGTGATCTCTGGACACAGCCTGAGTGTTGCCAGGGCATCAGACAGGGAACCTGAAAGTCGGCCAGCAGCCAGTGTGTGTGGCCCCAGAGGGCTCTGCCACCTCCCCTATCCCTCCGTTCTCTTGAGCTGCTCAGAACAAATTCAGATTCTGCTGTCATTTACTGAGGACCTCTTCGGACAAAGCTTATTGGGACAGATGTTACAGAAGTGTAGAGAGAAGGACTGAAGGGTCGGTGAATATGGGAGCTGCTTCCCCTCGCCCCAAGCTCAGGTGGTCTTGGTCAGAAGAGGAAGATGCGGAGGGCGGAGGCCAAGGCTGTGACAGCTGGTGAAACACTCCAAGCTGTCCAGCAGCCAGCTCCCAGGGGAGACACCGTGCAGCCCCTGCCCCTCCCTGGCCCCCCGATGCCTTCTTGTTCTGGCTCCTCAAATTTCAAATTGAAAGCTGCATTCCTTTGGCTTATAGACCAGTAACCTGCACAGGCCCCTGAGAAAGGTTGCAGGCTAAACTTTTATCAGTCATGTGCAGCTGGTGTGGATTAGATGCCCATGTTCTTTCCTGCAAGCAGTTTTGATGGAAGGCCTTGCTTGGCAGGCCTTGGGAGAGAGGTCACTGGGAGAGCAAGCTGCTCGCCTCCTGATTTGCTGACTGGCAGGCTGTGGAATAAGAAGGGGTTAAGTTTTTGCGTTTCAGTTCATAGGGCAAAGGCCAGAGAAAGAGGAAAGGAGGCTACTGAGGGCTGATTTTGCCTACAGTTTGCTCTCTCTCTCTTATCTATCTACCTAGTTATGTTCCACTTCATTCCTAAGACTGCATACCCAGTGATCCTTACACTTGCTTAGAGGGGATGACAAATTCAGGTCTGAGTTTCCTGGGAGCCAAAGCAAAGAGATCAGTGTAGGATTCTATGTCCACAAGACAAAGACCCCAGTGCTCAGAAGAACAGTTTTTCCTGATACTGAGAGTTAAGAGAGACCTTCCCCAGGAAGCTCACAGAGATGATGCTGCATGATACAGTGGACAGCACAGTAGCACACCCCCCACCCCATGGGTCATCCTGCAATCTCCCAAAGCACTGGGCAATCCTGTGCCAAGGGTAAACTCCAAAGTGAGAGAGTCCCTAGAGTCTGACCTAATCCAAGAACAAGTTTAGCGTATCTACCCTCCTCAGTGGGGACAACTTGGGATGAAACAGACAACAGGGAGCACGAAGCTTCATTCTCTGGTGGCAGGCAGGCAGTAGGGGGAGTCTCCATGGTACTGAGGATTCCCACATTGTGAAGATCCATAAAACTGAAGGCAAAGTTGACAACCTCCCTTGCAAATTAAGGACTACAGTTTGTAAGTGGATATGTGTCTGATGGCAGGACAAGCACATTTCTCAGAAAACCACACAGCACAGACTGGTGAAGAATGTGGCTATGAGGTCAGAAAGACAGGTTCAAGTCCTGGCTTCATTACTCTTTAGCTATTTGACCTTGGCAAGTGGTTTAACCTCCCTGAGCCTCAGGCTCCCTAGAAATAAAAGGGGAAAATAACAGTAGCTATGTTATGGAGTTGCTGAAAGGATTAATTACAATAACGAGGTCAGGTGTCGAGTACAACTCATGGCACCAAGTAAGGCTCACTGAACACTAGGTATTATTGATAACATTACTGTCACATTTAAAAATGTATAAAGACTAGGCACATTCAAACACATAGAACATGGGCATTTTGGACTCCAGGATTTTCTGCCATAAAACATGGCTCCAATAATTTAAGACTAGAAATATCTAGAGCAGGAATAACTATCGAGTAAAACCTTGCCAAACACCCATAAATGATATTACTTCCTGCTAAACCACTCAAGAAGTATTTGCTGCAAAGTATACCCCCAGAAAACAAATGATTTGATTCTACTGTATATAATTTTGATCATACATTGATTAAATGTTGGGTGGAAACCAACATTCCATTTCTGGAAAATAATTTGTATTTGAGGAGAGATGGTTTTCAGCCATTCTTGCTGATAATGAATAGTCGACAGCGCTATGTGCAATGAGACCATTCCTAGCCTGCAGCCTTAACTCATCCACAGGGTGGAGAATGGGTGCCCTCACATTCTCTAGAGTGCTTAATGCTGCCAGTAGTGGTAGGGATTTTTGACTCTCTAAAACAAACATATTTATTTAAAAAATAATTACCACTCGAGATCATCATCTTCTCTATCCATAGGTGGTTTCCATTGACCCCAGGTCCCCCTAGGATGCAGTTTTAAGATGCAAGGTCTGTGGAAATATCACTGAACCAGAGAGGTCTATACTGAGCGTATACCATAGAGACCAGCATGTCTCATGGACCCCAGTCTGAGAATCAGCGACTTAGTCCACAGTCCATTCTGATCCAGAGTCAGAGGCCATGGGAATACCCATGAAAGCTTCAAACTAGTGTCTTCACAAAGTTACAAATAGCATCATTTCAGTTCTGGATCGGCCATATCTAAATCATGCAAAATATTGGTCTGAGAAATCCACACTTTTAATTTCATTCATTTATTCACCTCATTTTTATGGAGTGCCAAACCCATGTCCAGTATTATGGTAGGCACTGGAGTTACTGTGCTAAGCTAGGCAGCTGTAGTCTTGTCCTCATGGGGCTTTTAGTGTATAGAGGGGGAAACTGGCATCAAGTAAGTCATCAACCATGTGATCAAGGTTAGGGAAGGATGGTCTTGGGATGGAATGGGGATCTATTTGGCCAGGAGACCCACCTGTGGGTCAGGGAATTTGTCCAAGAGGAAGGTGTCATAGGTTTAAAGAGAAATCTGATATATTATCAAGGCTGTCATTTTTAAAAAGGAGGGTCCTTTTGGTGGAACCCACCCAAAAGGTCCGTGCAAGCACACTACCGAACTGATAGAAAGGCTCTGCAATCATTCTTGTGGAAGATGGGGTGCCCTCTCCCCTTTCATGATGGTGCTCCATCTGTGCAGAGAGGGAGTTCTTACCTGGAGCTCAGCATGGTGGACCTGGGCTGCTGCCGTGGCCACCTGGTCCTCCAGATCTGCCAGTTCGGTCTCATCGGTGCCACTGTGGATGCAGCGGGCGGCACCCTCCAGTTCATTCAGCTGGCCTTCCAGTCCGTACACGGTGCCTGCCGCCAGGTACACCTGCGGAGGAGGTGCAGCTTCTGAGCTCAGGTTTTGGAACTGGGACCGGGGGTGGGGGGTCCTTTCAGGGCACCTTGGTAATTCAGGGCAGTGAGAGAGAACCAGGCTCAGCACTGGGGGAAAAGTCAGGGAATGCCCCCATTTATAAACATTCTTCACACTGAAATGGTAGCATGAGGTCTTACCACCCCCTCACTGTCAACCACACCTACCCTCCAAACTTTCCTGCAAGAAAAAGCAACTTTTTTTTTAAAAAGATTTTATTTATTTATTTGACAGAGAGAGAGACAGCGAGAGAGGGAACACAAGCAGGGGGAGTGGGAGAGGGAGAAGCAGGCTTTCCCTGAGCAGGGAGCCCGACGTGGGGCTTGATCCCAGGACCCTGGGATCCTGACCTGAGCCGAAGGCTGACGCTTAACAACTGAGCCACCCAGGCGCCCTGAAAAAGCAACTTCTAAGTCTTTAAAATATGATAAAATTGTCCAAAGGACATGGCGTCAGCTACATAAATTGTAAATTTGTCGAGTGACTGTAACAACCATAGTGCCAAGACAGAAGACACAAAGAGAAACTCATGATGTGATTTTTCCAAGAAAAATCTTGGTTGGCATTTGGCAACTGAAAAAAATCCAGAAAGCATAAAAGAGATGAAATTAATTTAAAACAATGACACATTTTGAGTGAATTATCTCTGATTGATGACCTTCGGTTTGCTCGAAGCAGGTTAAGAGAGTTAAGATGAACCTGCAATGTGTAGTAGGAAAACAGTTTATTTCTTTCTTTCTTTTTTTTTTTTTTTAAAGATTTATTTATTTATTTGAGAGAGCGAGAATGAGAGAGAGAGTACACGAGAGGGGTGAGGGCCAGAGGGAGAAGCAGGCGAGGTGAGGGCCAGAGGGAGAAGCAGGCTCCTCGCCGAGCAGGGAGCCCGATGCGGGACTCGATCCCGGGACTCCGGGATCATGACCTGAGCCGAAGGCAGTTGCTTAACCAACTGAGCCACCCAGGCGCCCGGAAAACAGTTTATTTCTTAGAAAATTGTGCGATGTTGAAAGAAACAAGACAGTTTTTTAAGAGCCTTTGAAAATTAAAGAGAAAATCAGACAAAGGGAATAATCTGAGGAAAAATTAAAGGCAGAAAAATTTGACTCATGAGTTTATAAGGCGATTGCCGTAAAAAGGGGCAAACAGTAGGTACAATCGTTGGAATAATTCACACTGAGGGATACCGGCCAGGGTGAGCGAAACAAATGTCCTTCAGCCTAAATAGTAATGTGATGCAACAACCAACTACACGGAACGAGATTGATCCAAAGAAGCTAATTACTTAACGAGAGGTTTTTGAAATTTAATCAACATATGTAAAGCTCTAAACATGTAATCACAGCAATTTAGAGTCGATCTGAATGAAAACACACGGTCACACACGGCTCTTTTAACTTGAGTTAAAAATAAAACTGTTAGGATAAGCCAAGAGCTTGTGCACACAAGTCATGCCAAGTGTTTTGTACTGAGCGATGCCGAGTGTTTTTGAGGAGGGGAATAACGCTGAGGTGCTCCTACCCTGTCAGTTCCTTGGCCTGATTCACGCATCTGCATTAAAACTGGCAATTTTACAAGACATTTCAAAGTGGAGCAAAGGCAGGGGCAGGTTTGATGAATGTGCATTTGTGCCTCGCCAGGCATGATGAACTGGGTTGGGGGAGCTTCCCGCCGGGACTGACACAGGGGACGCCATGTTAAGTGATTCGTCAGTCAGAGAGGGGGCCTCGAAGCAAATGTCCACTGACAACTGCCATAGTTCAGTCGGCCCTTAGTTTTGTCCTTCTTTGCCATATGCAAGGATCAGAGAACTTCTGTTTCTAAAAGATCCTCACAGTTAATGTAAGACATTTATTCTTTGTCTTGAAAACAAGATACGCTTCTTAGTTGTTTGTCACACGAAGGAAATGATGGATATTTCAAAGGGGGAGAAAACATTAAAAATTTGTGTCTTAAAAGTTTTGAAGTTGAAAACTTCTCTTCAGAGGGGAAGAAACTTGAGAAAAGAGAGAGGGAGGGAGAGACAAGGAGAGACGATAAAAAAATGTATTTGATAAGATAATTTAAAATACTTACAGGGTTGCACAATGAAACAAAATTTGGAATGATTATGTAACCAAACGAATAATCTCAGTGAGTGTGGCAATGGGGTTAAACATAACTTGTCATAACTTTGGTCTCAGGAACCTTGATTTTTCCAGAACACACAAAACTCAACATCATTACATCATACAGCTGTGTCATCCTAATAGTCTCTTGTTTTGTCTTCAACATGGTCATCTGCTAATGTTCTTTGTTTTCTCTGCCAAATCAAAACAATATGAACTAGTTCCAAGCCCTCAGCAAGGCCAGAATGTTCATCTTTTACTCCGTGTTCCCTGAAAGCGGGCTTTGCTGGCACGAGGGGGGAAGGGAAGGTTCCCTTGCTCGTGGCAGTCCCTGAGGTGGGTGCTATTATCATCACCATCTTAAAGAGGAGAACATTTGGTCCTGGAGGGTGAGTGACTTCCCCAGGCCTCGAAGCTAAGAAGTGATGGAGTTGGGATTTGAGCTCCCGGGGGCTGATGTCAGATCCCATGACTTTATCCATCCTGCCCTGTGATGCCCTGATACTTAATCTCATTTGCACCGTTATGACCTTTTACATTTGAAACTCTGACCTAATGGTACTCGAGTTATTGTGGTTATAGATCAACCTGACGTTGGTTCTGTTGCTGGGGGTGAAATAACACAAGTTAACATGCTATAATGATGGAATGTTATTCTAGTCTTAAAACACAATCCATTTGAAAACCACTAACCTGGAATTGCTGGCTGAGTAAAGGCCCACTTTTGGCGAGAACCATGGCTACAATGTCTGTGTAAGCTAGGTCTTCTCCAAGCTCCAGCCACTGATGCCCATGACCCCATGGACTAGCTCCTGGTTCAACTCATCTTCCTCAAAGTGGTTCAAGGGACTAGAACAGGTGTTTCATTAAGGAAGGGCTTTGTGGGCAAAGCCTTTAGGGTAAAGAGAATTAAACAGATTTCTTTGCTGCAGGACTTCTCAGAGTCTTTAATGTGCTAACACGTCTCTCAGTTTTCCTAGAAAGACTATACAGATTGCTGAAACTGATTTGATTTTATAGCATCCTTGTCGGACTTGCCTTCCATGAAACACATTCTAGAGGACTACATCTAGACAGTAATTGATAGCATTTCTTTGCTTGCTCTTGAAGGCAGAGGACCACTGAAGTAGCCCAGCTCCACATCCTCTCCTGTGCCACGGGGGTGCCCGAGAGCCTTGAGAAGGAGGACCAACATCCTCTGCCTGCTCCTGGATTCTGTGGCAGAGCTGGGCTCCCTCATGGGGCAGTTCTACTGTGTCTGCTGTCACTATAGACACCATGGGCTTTGGTGTTGCCAAAAGTTACAGGGCAATGCTAAAAGGGAAGTTGGGGCTGTCCCTGCACTACCTCTGTGCTGGGAATTATGGGGTGCCCCAGGCTGTCGGTTGGTCATTTAGCAAAGAAGAGAATGAAGAAGGTCCTCCAATGGGGGTGGTGGGGGTATGAGGGAGCCGATTCATCCCTCCCAGTCATAACCCTGCATAAATCCACAAGGTGGCCTCTGTGGGTCCCTACTCCTCACACCAGGGGTCTGAGAATGATCTGCCAGGGGTTCTGTTGATCCCTAGATCCACTGTCTACCCTCCTCTGCCCCGCCCTGTTCTCAGTGAGGCTGACCTGTCTGAACCTCATCACCCAGGCTCCCTTGCTGGCTGGGATGGGTTTGGCCAATGGGAGACAACCAGCAGGAGATCAAAGGCAGGAGGAGAGGGAAGTTTGTCTCCGTGCCCCTGCTCTCTCCCTGGGCGGGCTGCACGGTGACTGCTCCCACTAGGGGGCGCTCCTCCGGGCTCCAGCTCTCCATGGACTACACTGTCCAGGGGTGGGGACCACTCTCCCCCCCTCCAACCCCGACGGCCACTCTCTGGGTGCTACAGCATCCCTGAACCATACCCACACCTCAAGATAGTCCCTTCCTGAAACTCTGTTCAGAAGGTGAGAATAAGTATCTCCGTTTCTAGTTCTGACATCCCGGCTCCTCGGCACAAAGGAGCAAGGCAGTGGAGAAAAACGGAGGGCCCTTTAGAACACAGACAAAAAGTCCCGGTTTAATTAAATCAGCTGCACTCAGAGGCCCATTTAAGAATCAGCCCCGCCCCTGGGCTGCTCAGCTGAATTCCATCCTGGAAACCGCAGAGCAAAACCAGCCCCAGGGCTCTGTGATCTTTATCTCTAAGGAGATAAAGAGAAGAGTCATCCCTTCTCTGACTCAAAACCCTTAGAATTCAAAGGAAAGTAGATGGAGTTTCTTCCGAGGTGCAATTTGAAAAGCTGGAAGGGGGAGGGGAGGAGGGGAAGAAGGGGAAGAAACAGTTAACTCTTTGGGGATCAGGCGAGGCATCTCCCAGGCCAGACCGGGAACAGGGAGTTATTCCCCCCCCCCCCCCCGCGCCGCCTTAGAGCGCAGGTCCCTGCTGGGGTTTCTGACATCTCACATCAGCGGGTAAGTGCCATGTGTTTCGACCTGAAAATGTTAAGGAACCCAAGGAAAGAAACGTAATGGATAATAAAAGGATTTTACAAAATGAAAACTGCCCACAAAGGCTTTGCATTTTTCAACATGCCCCTTGCAGGAAAAAAAGGCATGTTGTCTTTGCTTTAAGTGTGCCCTGGGAACCCACTTAATGTGAGTATTTCACGTATTGTATTTTTTTTTTTTTAAATACAATTACTTGGTAAAACAAAAACACTCCTTTCCCGGTGCACCGTATCTTGACTTTAACTTTTTCCATTCTGTGTGTTCAGGATTAAGGCCATTTTAGGACTATCAGCACTGAAAGAACTGTATCGTAGACATCTTTAAAGAACAGAGACCCTCCATATTAGCAATAAAACATTTCTTCCTAAGGAAAGGACTTCATTCGTCTGAATCATATATCAGGTAAACACTCTTTGAGCACCTCTGCGTCAAGCTCTGGGCAAGGGCTGGGGCTACTCATGTGAAAGACCGTGTTCTGCAGGGATTCATACATCTGAGTCTTAATCTGGGGGTGACCTGGTTCCTGCCTCCCTGCAGCTCCCCCTCCAATATTTGACGTCTGGACACATTTTGACTGTCACATTTTTAAAAACATTTTCTTTTCTTCTAAAGAATTTATTTATTTGAGAGAGAGAGAGAGATTGAGAGAACGAGTGGGAGGAGGAGCAGAGGGAGAAGCAGACTCCCCGCAAAGCAGGGAGCCCACCGTGGGACTCGATCCCAGGACTCTGGGATCGTGACCCGAGCCGAAGGCAGACACCAAACCAACTGAGCCACCCAGCTCCCTGACTGTCACATTTTGATGTCACTGGCATCTCATGGGCAGAAGTCAGGGATGCTGCTGAACATCCTTCACCCCCCACAACAAAGAATTATCGAACCCAAAATGTCAATGGTGCCAATCTAATGGGGACAGATGAGTGGACAGAAAGGGCAGCAAAATGAGGTAAGGGGCAGATGGACCTCTACTTAGGTTTTATGGGAATTCCAAAGGAGAGAGTCTTTAACTTTTAAGTTAAAACAATTGGCATTTTTTTTTAAAACTTGAGTCATTTTTGATTTGTTGTTGTTTCAACTTTTTGCAAGAATTGCCTCTACTAACAGTTCCTGATTTCTGAGAACTGTGTTCATGACAGCACCCCACAATCAGGGTTGATTCTGCTGGCTCTGGAAAGATGGAACCCCCTGACTTGATATCACTTCCGTGGGCAGGATTATGCCCCCTGGTGACGGTGACTATGGCCCGAGTGGTTAATGTCCCAATCTCTGTGTCACCCCCTAGTCTACAGTGTTGGAAAATTCTCATCAGGAATTTATTAAAACACTCAACAATGAGTGTGGATATTGATATGTAAGAATCTGGTACCTCTTTTCTGTCCTCCCAAGTCAGGCTAGAAAAATCCACTACCAGCACACAAGTCTGGAAGCAGGGTAGACCACTTGTGACCTACATTCTGTTGGCAACCACCCCCTTTCCCTGTGGCAGTGTTCCACCTGGATCCCCACGGGATACAGTTCCTGCATCTCCCACCCCCCAAGCTTCAGTGTGCTTTTGTTCCCAGGCTCAGCTGTACAGAGGACTGCCTGGGGATCCTGTAGACACTTTGCTTGCTTGCTTGTAGAGACGGAAGTGTCTGCTGGCTGTAGGAAAGGCCAGTTCCTTTGCCTCAGGACAACCCTGAGATGCAACTGATACCCCGGGGCTTCCTGCAGGCTCAGGTCAAAGCTACTCTTTGTCTAAGGTCACACCTTTGTTGGGGCCCCTGAGTGACTCAGTCAGTTACGCCTCTGCCTTCAGCTCAGGTCAAGATCCCAGGCTCCTGGGATTGAGCCCGGTGTTGGGCTCCCTGCTCAGCGGGGAGCCTGCTTCTCCCTCTCCCTCTGCCTCTCCCCCTGCTTGTGCGTTCCGGCCCCTCTCTGTGTCAAACGGATAGATAAAATCTTTAAAAAAAAAAAAAGGTCACACCTTCACTTGACTGCTTCCCTTCCCCCTGTCTTTCCCCATTCCCTGACCAGCCTCCCTGGGGGAGCACTTCCCTAAGAAATCACTTGCAGGCAAACCCCCACTTCAGGGTCTGCTTCTGGAGAACCCAGCCCGAGCCCCTCCCTGAGAATATATCAGCTATGGTGGTGGTGTGTATGGTCCTTGCACTGTTCCTGATGGGTTACACCGTCATCAGTTTCTTCTTTGCACCTGCTTGCCCTAGACAGGGAACATCCCCACTGTCTTACGTTTTCTTCCAGGGAAGTCAGCTGCTCATCCAGTCTCGCTTGGTCTGTCCCGAGAGGAAACGTCCCCTTCTCTCTGTCGGGAGGGACAGATGAGAACTCCCAGGGCCCTGTGGACTCTGCTATCAGCTCCTCTGTGGCATTGATAACTTTCAGGACTTCTGTGGAGATGTTGCAGAGAGAAACAGCAGAATACTTCTGTTTGGTCCAATAACAGAAGGGGACAGAAGACAAGAACAGCACATTAACACTGACATGGAAATTCTGCATCATCATGGTGCTCATCATGAGACTGATTCCATTATAACACACACGAACATCGATGTGCCAAAGGAACAAGAAGCTAAACAATCTACCCGGCAGGAGAGCATCTGGAGGAGGCCCGATTTGACGTGGCCTAGCTTCTGTGACTCACCCTGAATTATTTGATTCTGTCCCCTTCACTGTCCTTCCCCTCCAGGGAAGGAGACCTCAAGGGGAGGCCACTCCATCTCCTGCCCACTGCTGCTGGTTTTATAGCCACACCTCGTTTTCTGGATGATATTCTACTTCCTCAACAGAGCTTCAGTCACAGACTTTGTCAGACTACATCCATGGCTGGTCCAATAGGGGGCTTTCTGGACTGGGCATTATGAGACCTGGGTTCTAGATCTGGCTCTAACTTCATTTAATGATGGGATCTTGACCCAGTTACTGTGTACTTCTGGAACTCAGCTTCGTCATCTGGTCAGTGAGTCTGTTGGAAGTTTCCCTGCAGTGTGTCAGTAGCCCCTGTGTGTTTAGCTCCCACACACCTGTTCTCAAGCCCATTCTCCCTTTGCTCTGCTGGACCATAGAGGCTGAATGGAGAAATACTCTATTTCCCTCTTCCTTCACTGCCAGGGGCAGTCATGTGACACAGTTCTGACCAGTGAGCTTGACAGGAAAGCCGGCCCAGAGGTCTCGATGAAAGCTTTTGTTTTCCTAACCAGGTGAATAGATCCGGCTGATGCTCTCCTTCCCCACTCCTGTCTGCCTTGATCACAGGTGTGCAGTTGTGACAAATACCAAAAGGCTGAGTAAGGTGGGTCAGAAAGCCCGAAAGAGCCTGGCCCAGACAGCCGCAGATCAGCTGAACCACCGTGAGTCACCCCTTGCCTCTGAACATCTTGTTACATGAAAAAAATAGTCCCCTACCATTGAAGCCATTGTTGGCCAGATTTTCTGTTATTTGTAGCTGAATATATTCCTCACTGACACAAGCTTTTACATTCAGGGCTGAAAATTACAATCAGTTCAGATCTGGGCCAAGGTCATTGATGACCTTGAGAGGCATTGCAACCACAAAAAATTATCCGCATCTTTGAGTTCATTGGGACATAGAACATAAGCAATAAGCTGGAGTTCAATGTTTCTGGATGGCAATGGTTTCTATTTAGAGCCAAGTTTATTTATCCTATCAAAGGGTTTGTAAACTGGAAGCCAAATATTGCCTACTGCCGACCAGGGGGTGTGTGTGTGTGTGTGTGTGTGTGTGTGTGTGTGTGTGTGTGTGTG